TTTACAAAGACCTTACCAAATCCGAAGCCTTCCCTCTCGGTGGTACCGCTTATTTGGATTTAGAAGATCCTAATGAACCCGTCAATGGAGGAATCAAGTACCATGCAATGCCACCTTTGAAACGATTCAGAGACATGGAGCATCTTTCCGGAGGAGAAAAGACTATGGCAGCTTTAGCATTATTGTTTGCCGTTCACTCTTACCAACCATCACCATTCTTTGTGCTGGATGAGGTCGATGCGGCGCTGGATAATACTAATGTCAAGAAGATTTCTAATTACATTAGAACTCACTCAGGACCTGGTTTCCAGTTCATTGTCATCTCACTAAAGGCCAAGTTGTTTCAGCAGTCAGATGCTCTCGTGGGAATTTATAGAGATCAGGTTGAATGCTCGTCAAAGAGTTTGACGTAAGTTTTCTTTGCCCCTTCAATTTGATTTGTCTTGAAATGCAGAAATTATGGAAGAAATACTAATGAATTTTTTCCTCGGAATAGCCTCGACTTGAAACAATATGTAGACCAGCAGTAATTACGCCGTCTGTGTTTTGTTTTGTAAGGTTGAGCTCTTTGAACGGCGGTTAATGAAGCTATCTGGTTTTTGTTTTTTTTTTGTTTCTTTCTTCTTCTCTGTTGGGCTTTGTTGTGTTTTTTTTGTTGCTGTTTTAACGTTTGTTATGCAATATCTTCTTCTTTTTTTTTTCTACGAAAATTTCACTCTGTTGTTCCTTATTATACCTTCTCCCTGTTTTTTTCTTCTTCTTCTTTTGCCATTATTTTACTTCTTTTCTTTTCTTTTCTGTTCCTTTTCTTTTCTGTTCCTTTTTTGTTTTCGTGTTTTTTTCGGTTTTTTTTTCTTTGCAGTTTTGTGTTCCCATCTTTTTTTTCTACTTTCCAACTGAGGCCTAGTTTAGTTGAATAACAGGAATTTTGGAAAAAATCTTGAATCGTTGTGAATGGATCATGGATAATGGAAGATGTTTTTGGTGCGGGTTGCGGATGTGGTGATGTGGTGATGTGGTGATGTGGTGATGTGGAAATAATGTTTGTGAAGGCGGGTTGAGTCGGTGATTATGGTATGATATGATATGATATGATATGATATGGGTGCGTTAAGTTGGGATACGGGGTGTGTTGCGGGTAAGCTGGGTGCGGGGGCGGTGAGCTGGGGGCGCGGGGGGCAGGGGAGGGGAGGGGTATTTGGAGATGGTATGTCATGGTATGGTAGGCAGTGTGCTATGGTGGTGATATCGTGGGGAGCAAGTAGTAAAGATAGAAAATGCAGAAAATGCAGCGGAGTTTACCACCGTTCCGTATACGTACCCCCCCCCCCCCCCCCCAACGCAACGCAACGGAATGTGGATTTCGTTTTGAAAGTTCGTATATGATATGTCATACCTACTACATCATATCTACTACCATCGCAGTATCGTAAAGGTTTTTAAAAAAATCCATGGCGTGGGTCGTGAATAATATATCAACCATCAAGGGATGGCGTATTTACATATATTTCTATGTTTATTTATATATATATACAAGAGAGGATGTGGTCTGTTCCGGCCTACGGCCGGTCCATTGTGTTGCCTCTACAAATCGAACCGTTGGTACACAACTCCAACTGTTGATAAACTGGTTACTCGTGCCTAAAGATGGTGGCTAGCGCCACCATCTTTAGGCACGAACATATAATGTGACGGGTTTCGACTATATATATGATGTGATCTTAAGAATCTGAAACTCGCCTATGATTCCCGCAAGAGCAGCCTGGGATAAACAATTTTCCTAGTGATGCAGTTGATGTTATCCTGTGACAGCAATATTCTGACATGTTTCCTCTGCCTGACCCTTCACAGATATGTGCTGGAACACAAAGTTCATTGGGGCAAGCAGAAGATATTTTCTTGCCGATTGGAGGATTTGTCGAGTAATTTCACCTCTACAATATATCATGGGTTGTAACTTCAGGACAATAACTCTCGAATTCTTGACCAGCTACTTCTGTATTGAGAGGTTTCTACACAATCACCAGTTTTTCGGTTTGATTTCAATTTCTTGGGCCTTGCCAAACTCAATATTATGACATATGGTTCAGTTTTGATATATATCGGAGGCTCTAACTTTTACCCCAGGATTTCGCTGGGAATCGTCCCAGAGCGTACATGATATCTTGGGCCTGTTGTCACCCTTATTCCTTATGCTGGTTTTACTTCTCGTCTGTACATTTGGAGCCCTGTTTGCTCTTTTTCCACTGGCCTCTCTGAACTCGCCTGTCTCATCTCTCCTCACCGAACTGTTCTTCTACTTCTCACCCGGCCTCTGTCTTTAACGCTACCATATTGCCTCTACTCCTTTTCTGCCCTTCTCCCTCTCCGTCTCTTCACTCGTATTATTTCTTCAGCTTTTACATCACAGTTTATCTTTCTCACTTTGCCAATCCTTCCGCCATTTATGTACATATGTACATATGTGTCTGTGTTTCATGTTTGTTTTTTATTTTTTATTTTTCGCATTGTGCAGCATTAACTTTCATGTTGATTCAGAAAGACTTTATTCACATTCTAAGATTCGATTAGTGCTCCTCAGCCTGTTCTCATTCTTTCCGAGTCATTTTTTGATATCCTCGTGATGTTTCTGAAGCTCAGTCTCAGTAATGGAAAATCCTCCTTGGGAGGCTTCAAAACGTTCTCTGCTTCCTTCCACTGTTTTTCTGCCTTGAGCCTATTCAAATCCGCTTTATATATCTCCTCACACAGTGTGTCAAGATTCTCCTCAATAAAACCGCAGTTGCTTAACTTCATCTGATAGCGTCTCGTCGACTGTATCTGCAGCATGCGGCAAAGGTCACAGGTGTCCGTATATTTTATCCGGCCAACCATTAACAGCTGAATTGCATCATGAATTGTATCAAAGGTGCGAAGTGGTTCGGGATTGGAAAGGCGAATGGGATCTGTGCCCAGGCAGCCAGGAGAGCAGTCTTATATGTTTCCCATCGAATCTGTTCCGGTTGCCACGGTTGCCGGTTTTACCATCCCGCCATGTATTGCCGAAGCTTTTGAATTGCCGCCCGACAGCCAGAGGAGTTCACGTTTAAATTAGTCTGAAATTACATCATCACAGCTTTTAATAATAACGCTATACCGTATCAGGTAAATAACTAAAATATACCTGCTTATATAGTAAAAAAGGCGACTAAAAACCTCTAAATCACTTTCCGCAGACGCTATTCCATTTCAGGTGCGTACTAAAATATCTGCTTATAGTATTCTGATATCGAAGAGGAATTATTTATGTTTTTTATTACATACCGTATCTCTAGTCTCTAATCCCCAATCCCCAATCCCCAATCCCCAATCCCCAATCCCCAATCCCCAATCCCCAATCCCCAATCCCCAATCCCCAATCCCCAATCCCCAATCCCCAATCCCCAATCCCCAATCCTAGTTATCGATATGGGTGTTGTGTTTACAGTTAACGATACACAATTCAAGGCGTTCGGGGCCTTTGAGGGGGATTTGTTTATTTATCCACGATGATTGATTGGTATGAAGGTATGAGCGTATGAACGGTATAGAGGAAAGGGAGGAAAGGAAAGGAATGGAAGGAAAGAAAAGGAAGGAAAGGAAGGAAGTGTTATAGAAAGTGATGGGTATAGTGATGGGTATAGGTATAGGTAAGTATAGAAAGGGCTTGTGGATTGCAGGCTATGGTGGCTATGGTGGCTATGGTGGCTATGGTGGCTATGGTGGCTATGGTGGCTATGGTGGCTATGGTGGCTATGGTGGCTATGGTGGCTATGGTGGCTATGGTGGCTATGGTGGCTATGGAGGCGGATTAGATAAGTTATATGGTGGTGTATGGGTATGGGTATGAGTATGAGTATGGCATCCCATAGACTGCGGGAAATATAGTAAACCTTGGGTGGAGTTGGATTGGGTTGAAGATTGGTGGGGTTTCTTATACTGGTATGTATATGATTGAAACTCCGGTTTTCTGTTTTTTTATTTCTTTTTAATTTGTAAACGATGAGATTAGGTTGGTTATTGGCTGTGAGTTTGGGTGTCTGGATATCTGGATACACATATATCAACTGACTAGGAATAGGAAGGAAATAAACAAGGAAAACAAATCACCGGCTACAACAGACACATCCCTTGATAATAGCAGCTGTCACAGAACAGGTGTAAGATACAGCGGAACTGATACAACCAACAGCCTCCATGCCTTGACCTTCTTACTCTACAAATAAAACATAGGCCGCACCGAACTTTTCTTGCAGTACCTCAAAATCATCGAAATCACCATTAAATCAAAATTGTACAAGCTCATAAATCACTGTAAATTTCCCGATGAGATCATCTTAAAGAAATAAAGGAAACAGATTAAAATCTCTGCTCTGGTGATTGAAATACTTCAATAAGTTTTGCGCTTTCAGCATCTAAGTACCAACCCCCGGGCTCCATCTCCTTGAGAACCTTAGAATCCACTCGATCCTGTATGTCATGCCCATCAAGGAAATATACGGTAAATAAAAATGATCTCAACCGTGATTTAAACACAGTACCAAAGATAATACCTCCATCCAATGGTATCTAGGCCAACGGGGATAACAAATATATGCTGATGAAGGTTGCTAATCTTCCGAATAGCTGCCGCATCGTAATCCCCTTTGCTCTGATAGTGCCGGGGAAGATCTCTATTAGATAAGTATAAGTCAACGCAATAAACTCTGTCATCCATATGATTAGCTTTGCTTGTTGAACTCCGAATGATGGTGTAGCACCTATATTATTATTATTGCTATTGTGATAATCGTCATCACTCCAGATCCCTTGGTTCCCGTCATTACATACCTTGCCGAAGATGTAAAGAGCATAATTCAACACCCCAAAATGCCACAAACACAGGTCAAATACATGGTCCGTGTCTTCACCCTCCTAACCGCCATATGCGGCCAATATTAAGCAGGCTATATCTAATCAAGAGTTACAGCAATCAAGCAACATCCGATATGGTGTAGGGGTTAGCATTGGTCGCTTTCATCACCGAAGTGCCGACTAGACCCGGGTTCGATTCCCGGTATCGGAATATGTTCTTTTTTTCTCGTTTTTCGAAATGGCGCAACGGTGAGGTTTGGCCTTTCTCTTCTTGTTTTTGGAAATTCCGTAACGTGAGATAGGTTAGGTATTTACTGTTAACTATTAACTACCCTTGGGTTGGAGAATTGTCATTCATCAATGGTATCGCCTATGTTATATAAATATAGAGGAAGCTTTAAAAGTTGATAAATTTGAGAAAGTCATAACAGTTACGAAAGTTAGAAAAGCTACGAAAGTTGATACCAGAGTCAGCTGCTTGGAGGGCAATCATGATAGCATTCCACCAGAGAAGCTTGTCGACGGTTGCAATTTTGGATCATTATCATAGTTGTGGAATCATGATTCATGACTGGCGCCGTTTTTTTTTGGGATATTGTGTTAGAAGATTTTGATTCATTACATGCATTCGGCGAAACATCAACCTCTCAGAAAATGCCATCACTCCCCTATTCTCCCTCCCTGTGAAAGGAAACCAAATTCGTGAATCTACTTCGGTATAATGGATAAGTGATAGTGGATACAAGAGGTAACGAAAGATAGAAGAAGCCTGAAACTCTTTGTCTATCCTTGCTTAAATCAGGTTCGATCATCATGTTTTGATGTTTGTGGGGTATGGCATATGTCAGTGATTGAGCGGTAACCAAAGATCGGTTATGCATTTCTTCAAATTGTTAAGTTTATGGGGATGTGGGTAGTTGATGGATGATCGGAAGTCGGTGGAGCATATCTCTGATTCTTGGAGCGAGATGGTGTTTTAGAATGTACTGTGATTCAAGAATATTGGATATCTTTATTTAATACAAATACATATATCTATAATTTCCGTGTGGAATCAAACAAGAAGCGGGGAACTCCAAAAGACAAATAACAAGTAAACTCTAAATGCCTAGAGTAGACCAAAACTAGAATCCAGTTAGTCTCCAGAATGAGTGATTGTAGGGGTCAGGAAACTTACTTGGTAAATAATGGCAAGCATCACCAAAGGAAACATGATCTTCCCATTCTTGCCCATTAACTTCGTCTGGACGAAATCGTTTACCGTCTACTTAATGGCCTTCTCAAGCGCAAATCCAATTAGCTGGAGACTAAGTCCTGGGTACAACCCCTTGAAGCCCTCGTTCTTGAGAACCTTGCGGAATCAGTCGATGCTGTTCTTGTATAAGGTCTCTCCAAGGAGGTTGCTTCGCTGGTTCTGCATTCTTGTCGTGACGAGATCGATGGGGTAAACCATCGTCGCTCCGAAGGCTCTAGCAATAGCACCGGGACCGAAGTTGTAGGCCGACTCGATGGTCTGCTCAAGCATACCGTTGGAAGAAGCGGCAGGTTTGGGAGTAGCGGTGGCGCTCTGGCGGTAAAGAGGGTCAAGGACACGGCTAAAGTCCTTCCAAGAAAGGCGGTCGCTCTCGTTGTTCACTCCGGCGAAGTGGAAGAGAATGTCGGCTTCGAGGGGGATGAAGTGAGAGAAGCGTGTAATGCGCGCAGCCTCGTTGAGAAACTCGGCTCTGGTGATCTTGCCATCCTTTGACTTGGCGGTGGCGCTCCTGACAACAGCGTCCACGGTGTCCATCTCCCTCATAACGTTGTGGAAAGCACAAACGTTGGCATAGGGAATCTTGGTTGCCGCCCCAACACCAATGAAAGTGTTGAGGTTGTCGAGGATATGGTTGGACAACTTGTGTCCAGCCGTCTCCTTGACAATTCACTCGAAGTCGGCTACCTCAATGAATCTAGTAGCCTTGGGATCGAAAGCCTGGAAGGCCTGACGAACCTTCTCTCCCTGGATCGCCCGCAGCATCTGAGAAAACTGCTCGTAGGTGAGGGAGTGGCGGCTCTTCGGCGAACCAGCGTACAGCGTTGCCCATGCGCTTTCCCAGTTGAAGGGCAAAGAGGAGTCTGATTTGTTGGCCTTCGTAATGGCCACAAGGTCATCAAAGTCGACGGTGCCCTTTCCTTGAACATCGAAGCGGCGGAATACGATCTGGTACTCCGCATCCGGCTTGGATAGCAGAGACTCGAAGGTAGCCCACTCTTCCAATGTAAGGTAGCCAGCACCCGCGCGGTCGGCGACCTCAAACAAGATTCCAAACTGGTCTCGGGGGATCTTGTGGTAGTCGGCGGATTCTGGTGCAATGGCATTGACGAAATCGGCGCGGCTCATTGCTCTCTCTCCGGCTGGGGTTGTAATAGTAGCAAACTTCTCAAAAGCAGCTTTGCGTTAAGGTAATTATGAACATCGTAGTCATCGAAGGAGGCCATCTGCTCCTCCAGTCGTTGCTATCTGAGTTGTGTATGCAGACGCCGTTTGTGAATCTATTTACGTCCCTGAGAGCGCGATTAGATACATTCTAGTAGAGAGAGACCAACTGAATTTGAGACGCGATGATACGTGTAAGAAGAATGGAACATACTTACTACAGGACATAAATACTACTTGAAAGCTATTATCATGCTTCAAGGCGCAAGGCCTGTAACTCGAGTGAGTTGATGACGTCGAAAATGAGGCCGAGGTCGGCAGCACCGAGTGGTGTTTGTTGTTTGATGTCAATTGGAGGGAAAGAAGGAGGAGAGAAGAATGATGAAGAGGGAAATCTAGCATGGGCTTATATACACCACCTAGCCTACCAGACCGCCCTATCTTGTATTCGACAAGTTGCTTTGACCGCCATTAGATTATGAATATAGCTACTCATGGCGGATCACTCGGAAGTGTACTCGACCCTCGGCCGCTTTCGGTTGCGTTAAGATGGTTGGGTATAGCGTACATAAGATAAAAACGCCTAGCCATGGAGTTCGTTCGTACTATCACTTTTATGGATAGAAAATTTGTAATTCAACAGATAATGAAGTATCAAGTAAACCAACAGGATACCGTGGAACACAAAGCCAAACTCCAACCGCCACTGCGACCAACACTCTGCTTCACCCCGCGTTTGGTTCTAAACCAAAATTAAACTCCAGTGCTCTGCCCTAAATCCTCCATACATACTGGCAGTTCAGATCATCAATCAATCATTAGAAATTATCCGATATGTCAATACACGAGTGCAATGGTATGATTACCACAGGTAGGTATAGCGTAAATGAAAACACCAGCCATAGCATCCACTTATCATATCACTTTAATCAATCGGAAAGTTTTTGATCCATGAAAAAAAAAATAACGACGAAGGCACCCTGGAGATATGGTGTTTTTTTCTTATTCTTTTTTTTACTTTTAATTTTTTATTTTGTAAATACTACGGCGTGAGTTAGTTGAGGGTTGTAGTTTTTTGGATTTGGGTGTACCTATATCTATATATCAAAACTATGATCTCCTAGCAAATATAATTGCCCCGATTATTCACTGCAAAATCATCGTTGTGGCACTGCTCTTTTTGACCTAGCGCCGATCTATTCAGAAATATGTCCTATTTACATACTGTATTCTTGTCTTGATTTTGTGTATCCCAGATAATGATTGATTCATGCTCCAGCAATACTCATGCACAGGTGCTTCAGCAATGTTGTGTTTTATACGGTCATATGGCACGTCGATGGAGTGGTTTTAAGTTTATAGTCGAAAGGAAAACTGCGAAATATGTTTTTTTCGCAAACCGGACCAGACAACACTTCCGGCCCGCCGTATTGGACGGATTGTGACAAGCTCTGACAGTTTTCTAACCGACAGCAATAATGAGTGGATGAAATCTTTAGGGAAATAGTGTGAATAAAGGTTTGATTCTACCATTATCTACGAATTATGGACCGATGTTTGTGATCTTGTGATGCAACTGGATAGAGTGAGTATAGAGAGCTTTTTCTTGTCGGTAGCAATGGCTATGAGTTATAACATTCCCTATCCAATGTCAGAATACAATACTGGAGTTCACAGTTGAATGGACGAATTAGCATTATTGTTTCATACTAAAGTCATCGTCAGTATGAACAGAACAGGGAAAAGAAGAATTTCAGTATTGGGAAACTCAATTCAACGCAAGCTAGAAGAAGTGAAGTCTTCATACATGAAATCAATTGCTCCAAAACCCAGCAAATGGATGAGATATGAAACCTAACTACATGATCTCCCGGTGATTTACAAATTCATATACTAGTTTTTCAATTCGAAAATGTTTTTTTTGTTGTGCAAGCATCAGTCCTGAATTTCCATCCTTATCCTTTGCATTAACCTCGACATCGTCCCGAGCAAGTAGCAGCTTGACAACATCCTCATGGCCATTGAGGCATGCCCATAAGAATGCCGTCATTCCATCGTTATCCTTTGCATTGACCTCGATATCGTCCCGGAAAAGCAGCAGCTTGACAATACCCTCATGGCCATTCCGGCATGCCCATAAGAATGCTGTCATTCTACCGTTGCTTTTTGCATTGACCTCGATATCGTCCTGGGAAAGCAGTAGCTTGACAACACCCTCATGGCCATTGCGGCATGCCCATAAGAATGCCGTATTGCTATAGTTATTCTTTGCATTGACCTCGATATCGTCCCGGGAAAGCAGTAGCTTGACAACACCCTCATGGCCATTGCGGCATGCCCATAAGAATGCCGTATTGCTATTGTTATTCTTTGCATTGACCTCGATATCGTCCCGGGAAAGCAGTAGCTTGACAACACCCTCATGGCCATTCTGGCATGCCCATAAGAATGCTGTGCTTCCATCGTTATTCTTTGCATTGACTTCGATATCGTCCCGGGAAACCAGTAGCTTGACAACACTCTCACGGCCATCCCAGCATGCCCATAGGAATGCCGTATTTCCTGCGTTATTCTTTGCATTGACCTCTATATCGTCCCGGGAAAGCAGTAGCTTGACAACACCCTCATGGCCATTGCGGCATGCCCATAGGAATGCCGTATTTCCTGCGTTATTCTTTGCATTGACCTCTATATCGTCCCGGGAAAGCAGTAGCTTGACAACACCCTCATGGCCATTCTGGCATGCCCATAAGAATGCTGTGCTTCCATCGTTATTCTTTGCATTGACTTCGATA